ATCTCCCGGATGGTGTCCTCGGGGGTCTGCTGGACGCGGAAGCCCGTCGGCGTGCCGAGGTGCTGGTACGCCTGCCCCTCTGCTAGGGGGATGACGGGCTCGCCCTGAATGAGGAATTCCGTCGCCAGTACCGAGTCCCTTACGCTCCTGTCGACGTGGAGGGACGCGCACTTCTTGGCATTGAAGCGGAGTCCCGTCCAATCCGCGACTCTCCCGACTGTGTCGAGCATGCCCTGGAGCCTCTCGCGGTCATCTGCGATCAGGACCAGGTCATCCACGTAGGCCAAGACGTTCACCCTCTCGCCGTGCAGGTCGAAGCCGTCGGTGCCGTCGGAGATTGCCCGCAGGAGTGGCTCCATGGCGAGGTTGAAGACGATCGGGCTGAGGGGGCAGCCCTGCTTCACGCCGCTGTGGATTGGTATCTCGGCGGTTTCCCCTTCTACCGAGCGGATGGTGGTGCTGGAGCCCTCATACAGTTCCTGGATTCTGCGAAGGAAGGTCTCCGGCATCCTGAACTCCCGGAGTGTCGAAGATGTGGTGGTGGGGGATGGACCTGAAGGCGTTGGCCAGGTCGAGCCACGCTATCGCGCACTGCTTCCGCGTCCGTCTGGTTGTCTGGATGATGGTCTGGAGCAGGAAGTTGTGCTCGTAGCACCCCTCTGATGGCATGAAGCCCTTCTGGGTGGGGCTGATGGCTCCTCCGGACGTGGCCCGCTCCGTGATCCTGGCTGCCGGCAGCTGGCGTACAGCTTGTACATCGTGGAGCAGAGGGAGATGGGTCTCCAGTTGCTGGGGTCGTCTCGTTCGCCCTTCTTGTGGATCCAGACGGTCATGGCCTTCTTCCAGGAGGTGGGAGATCGGCCGAATCGCTTGCACAGGTTGAAGATGCTGGAGAGCACGAGGCAGCCGGGGTCTCGCTTCTTTAGGAGGCTGTAGGGGATGCCGTCTTTTCCAGGTGCAGTGTTCTTGGTTCTGGAGAGCCTGGCCGTCACCTCTTTGGGGGTGAAGTCGGCCTCCAGGTCGTCGGCATCGGTAATGCGGGGCAGGGGGTGGAGGCACTCCGGGCGCTGCGCGTCGTTCCTGGGCATGCCGTCGAACTCTCCGTGGAAGTAGTTGTGGAGGCGCTCGGGCGGGATCGTGCAGTAGGACGGGGGCCCGTCGAGGACCTCTCTTACGGCCTTGAGGCGGTTTGTCCGGTACAGCTTCTGGATCCTCGAGGCCGCTGCTGGGTCGTAGCGGCGGCCGGTGTTCCTCCTTCTCATTCCCCTAGTGTTGGTGTCGCGGTGAGGAATGGGCCGTCTGGGGGCAGGCCGGGTGGTCTCCCGGTTCGGCGTCCTCCGGAAGGCGATCTCTGCGGCCAGCTCATGGGTGAGCCTGTCGATGAGTGGGTCGAATTCCGCGAAGGAGGCTGCTGTTTGGAGTTCCTCGATCCAGGCGGCCTGCCAGGGTGTGGCCGGCCTAGCTGTCAGTCGCTGGTCCATCCCCCACCGCCACGGTCGGCGCAGGCAGCGGGTTGGCTGCGTGGTCAATGGGATGTCCCGCTTGTGGATCGGGGGACCTTTCGGCTGGGTCCTGGGGTGTAGTCGCCGGTGGAGTGGTGTCGTTGCCAGTCATTGGTGGAATCCGGATCGGGTCGGTGGCGGCGGGCGTGATGGCAGATCCTCCGTGCGTGGGTGTTGTCCGTGGGGTCGCTGCGGGAGCATGTGACCTTCTGGCGGTAGGGATTGGCCTGGTGGCTTTTGGGGCCATATTGGACCGTCTGGCGATGGGGGGCTGGCGGTGTGGTCTGGCCGTGGCGCTGACTTCTCTGGCATTAGCAGTTTGCAGGGTGGTCTGGGGGGTGGACCCCGTATCCTCAGCGGGCGGGGTTCGCGGTGCGGGTTGCGGGGTCGCGTTGGCTCTTCCTGTGGTTGGTGCCCGTGGGGTGTTCTGTGGGCCGGCATCAGTTCTGCTGGGGGCAGGGTTTCCGGTGGCCACGCGTGGTGGGGCACTGCCCCTTCGTGGCATGGGGTCGCGCTGGTTGGGCGTCGGGAGGGCACTGAGACGCCTCAGCTCAGAGAGCTTCCGGGTGACCTGGGAGGATGTGATAGGTCTCCTGCTGGCAGGGGTTCGGTCGACGTTTCCTGTTGTGGGGACGTTGTCTTGGTGGTGGGGCCCTGGGCCACCGGCTCAGAGACTGGGGGGGGGATCCGGGGTAGGGGCTGGCGGGGGCATCCGGCTTCCTTGCGGTGCAGGAGCAGCGGGCCGGGGTGCAGGAGAGCGGGAGGCCGGAGCCGGAGTTGCCGCTGCATGGGCTCTCTTGCAGCTGGCCTGGTGTGCCTTGCACCTCTTCTGGGATTTGAAGGGCAGGCTGCAGCGGGCGCAGCTGAAGGCGATGGATTTGCCGTGGCACCTCTTCAGATGCCTGGTGACTCCCCCGAGGAGGTGGAAATGTCGGGGCGGCAAGCAGATGGGGCAGATGAGTGCATCAGCGGCGAGGGGGGTACGTCAGGTGGATGGTGTTGCCGTCAGTCCCCTGTGGGGTGGGGGTCCCAGCGGTAGGGGGGGTGTCCCCAGTAGGGACGTCCTGCTGGGGGTCGGGGGAGTCGACTCGCAGCGGCGGAGACTGCTGGAGGGCAGGGGGAGTGTCCGGTAGCCGCTGGAGGACAGGGGAGCCGTCTCGTGGCGGCTGGAGCTGCTGGTGAGCAGGGGGCGTGTCCGGGGATCGCAAGAGAACGGGGGAGACGTCTCGTGGTGGCTGGGGGGCAGCGCAGAGTTCCTGTGGTGACTGGGGGATATGGGGGGGAGTGTTCGATGGGTGCAGCTGCTGCGGGGCGGTGTGGGGGTCTCTTGTTGGCTGGGACAGCAGGAACGTGGAGGGGGTCCCTGGCTGCTGGAGCAGTAGCAGAGTAGTTGGGGAGGTCCCCCGGTGGCTGAAGCGGCTGGTGAACCGCATAGGGATTGTTCGGCAGCTGGAGTGTCGGGTGGTGGATGGGCGATTCTCTTGGGCTCTGTGGCAGCTGGTAGGTGGCAGGCCAGGGTCCCGTCCATTGGGGCGCATCATGGAGTTCCTCGGGCATTGCGCGCAGTGGTGGCTGGAGCACAGGGTGGGAAGCCC